ACCACAAAATAAGGCAATGTTTACCGTTGTTTTTACGACAGAAACCGAATTGGTTATTTACAAAAATGAATCTGTCGACAGGTTTGGAATTTTATCTTTAAAACGCCACACTTTTCTTTGAAATCGCTTTATTAGTTCTTGTGCAATAAGCGTATTTGTGAAGCTCTAAAAATTACAACTACAACATTTGAACATAGCCCCCATACCTTAAGGTAAGACCTATTCTACGTCAAAAACTAGGTGCGACAGTTATTATTTTACACGCCGGACAAAAAAAAAATTGCCCTCTTCTTAGTATTTGTGCTTAGAGGGCAAATAGAAGGTAACATTTTTCGATAGAAATGAAAATGTCATTAGTGTAATGAAGCATTGTAGTTAGCAGTAGTAGTGCCGCTACAACAACAACCAACAGTGGGGCAGCAGCTCTAAGTTGATATCTGGATGTTTGTACTGGACTATGGAAATCCAAGATGGCCCAAATGAAGAGCACATGGGAATCAAGAATAATGGCTTTCTTGATTGAGAGGATTCAGGAGAGATTATTTCGGGTCGGTTTTCGTCAGTCAGTCAAGGGGTCGATGGCCAGATGTGCGGAAGAAGAAATGCGTAACTCAGGTGGTGAAGGTGTACATGAGTGGAGATATCGTAAAGACTCCACCAGTATGCGGAAGATAAACGAACATGTGAGACATAGCACTGTAATTAAAAGTTATGTAATTAAAAAGGACAAGCCAGAAAGCAAGCTGCAATAACGCAAGCCGAGAGGGTTTCCGGAGAGATGAGAGGCTAAAAAGGAAGAATACCAAAAAGGCTTTGAATACTTAAAAAAATATTACATATATAGTTGGAATCGACCGTTTTTGATTTTAATTTCGGTCAGAACTTATCTTTTATCACTTCCAGGTTTATTTTTTGAATATCTCAATAACTATTTTAACTACAAAAATGGTATTGTTAGGTACCTTTTTAAAGGTGATATTTGGGCTACATAAAATATATATATGTATGTATGAATGTACAATTTTGAAATTTTAAAAATCGGCTAAATTTTTTTTTACAATACCACTAACTGATTTTAAAAGATTTTGAAAATTTCAGGGTGTTTTTTAAGATATGAATTTTTCAAATAAAAAAAAAATTTAACTATAAATTAAAAATAAATTTAATTAAATACAAATTATTTAAACTAACTTTATTTAGACTTTGCAAAAAAACTTTTTCTACGTTAAAAATCAGGGACGTGAACCGGGCGAAATATTTGGACGGTTCGGTTTAGCGGTTCGAACCATTTTTGCACTTTTAGATTGGGTTGTCAAAGCGGTTTTTTTGCTCTTTGAACCGGGGTTTCGGTTCGGTTCAACGGTTCGGAAATACAAAAAATATATCGCGTATCGAAGAAAGGTCTCTGTTACAAGCGAATCTAAGCAACGTGGCTAGTTGGTCTAATGCAAACTATATGCCACTAAACCTTAAAAAAATGTAAAGTTGTGTGTTTCTCTCGAAGGGCAGTTAAATTAAACCAACTGTTTATTCAATATCAAATTATAATCAGGAGCAGGCATCCAATTTTATCGATCTTGGTATCACAATGGATTCCAAACTCAATTTCAACCTTCATATTAATGTTACAGTCAATAAAGCCAAAGGCGTTTTTGCATTTGTAAAACGGTAGTCAAAAGAGTTCAAAGATCCTTATTTTACAAAAGCTAGTCAAAAGAGTTCAAAGATCCTTATGTTACAAAAGCTCTTATTACCACTTTAGTTAGACCTATACTAGAATACCGATCTATTGTCAGTAATCCCCGCTACCAAGTTCATTCAGAAAGGATTGAATCAGTTGAAAAACAAGTCTTGCATTTGCACTGTGTGATTTTAACTGGGATTAAGACTACAATCTCCTTCCTTACACTAGTCGTCTAAAGCTCATAAATTTGCCTACACTCGCAAGTCGTAAAGAAATGCTAGGTATAATATTTATCGTAAAATTAATGACAGGTTTGATTAATAGCCCAGCCCTTCTTACTGAGGTAAATTTTAATATTCCCTATCGAGTGTCAAGACACTTTTGACCTCTGTTTTTGAAGCCATGCCAATCTAGTTTTGAACTAAACAAATGTCAAGATTTTAACACGCATTCCAGCACGTTTGACATATCGGACTCGATTTTTACTATAAAGAAAACTATCATTTCCACTCTCAATTATTGAAACACTTTAGCATATCCAATCAGCTAATGAATTTGGTTCGGTAGCTGAATAGTTGATCAAATGAGATAGGTTGATATTGGCACATGGTAAACAAACATGGTATGTATTACCATATTTAACAAAACGAAAAGGGGTAAATTTATCTATTGAAAATTGGTTGAAACGAACCTTTAAACCTTTATGAAAAGTGGTTCGGTTTTCGGTTCGGATCCAACATTTGTGGAAAATTTCGGTTCGGTTAATGGTTCAGTTAGTTTATATAAAAAAGCGGTTTTCCGGTTCAAAACAGGTTCGGTCCAAAACCGGTTCACGTCCCTGTTAAAAATTCATATCTTAAGAACACCTTAAAAATGTCAGACCCTTTTAAGATTAGTTGGGAGGTATTGTATGAAAAAATGTCCCAACAAATTTTAAAGGTTTAGTTTTTGCTTTTGCATTTATTTTTTTTTTGCATAACTTGCGGAAAAATTTGTTTTGCTTTGGCAGACCTTTGTTATACATATCGCACACCTAGAT